ACATGTAGATATTAAAGAGAGGGCCAAGGACAGAGCCAGACATGACAGTGCGGGCGCTGGAGGAGAAACCGTTAGAGGGAACAAAGTGGAGACAGTGAGAGAGATAGGATTCGATCCAGGCAAGGGCAGGTCCGCGAAGATTAAGTAAAGCGGAGAGGCGGTGTATGAGGATGGAGTGGTCGACAGTGTCGAAGACGACAGAGAGGTCAAGGCGGACAAGGAGGCAGAGGGAGTCCTGATCACAGATGTTCAGAAGGTCATTAGTGAATACCCTTAAGTCAGAGGGTTTTGGGGTTAGAATTCATTCTCACAAACATCCAGAAAAGGATCACTATTTAATGATCATGTGATCGAGCTCTTCACATCACTGATGACCTTATCCACTGTACAGTATATCCCCTTGAAGCGCTTTGAGATGTCTGAACGATATGATAAGGTGCTATATCAAATGCAAGGATTATTATTATTATTACTGGAGACAGGACGAAGAGTCTTAGTTTCAATACAGTGAGGAGAAGAGAGGGATGTGAGGAGGAGGAAGAAATATAGGACGGTGTATTTGGAGTCTGAGGGGAATGTTCAGAGCAACAACAGGAATATTGAAAACAGAGAGCCAGGAAATATAACAATAATAATGCTTGCATTTGGTATAGTATCTTACACATCATAGGAAGACATCTTGAAGTACTTCACAAGATCCACTCAGTATAAGCCTAGACAATATAAGGATCTTGAATGACAAACAGCTCATTGCAGAAAGACGTCTCAAAGGACATTTAACACAATCCTAATCTTTGTGTTTGATATTATGCCTTATCACATCATCGAGGCATCTCAAAATAGTTCATGGGATTTACTGAAAATGTAGTGACTGTGTATTTTCTAGGCGAACGCAGCAGCCAATTTGCACACAGGAATGTGGTCCTTGAAGTGGCTAATTAATTATACCTGGGGGATTGTTGCCCAGGATACCAGAAGAAACTCCATTCTCTTTTTGACTAGTGCCATGGGATCTTTAACATCCACTCGAACAGACAGATAGATATTCTAAAGGATGACACCTCCAACATTGCAGTGCACCCAGCACCCAGTACAGACAATGTGACATCAACCTCTCGACGAGGCTTGAACCCACAAACTTCTGACTCAGAGGCGAGAATGCTATGAACTGAGCCGGGCTGACATCTGATCTCTTCAGATCCTCAACTGCGCCTACAAACTTTCCGCTCACATATTACTTGCAGATTTGTTTTTTTCTGATTCAAAGGTTCTCTTTCAAACAATCTTTCACAAAACATTGCGCTGTGGTCACAGCAACGCAAACTGTATGCAAGATTTTCATGGAAAATGTTTCTGTGTAACTGGAGCTATTCAGCAATTGTTTGGTATTTCTGCAGTGTGATGGTGTTAATAATAATGTGACAACAACCAAGGTCGGACATAGAACTGAAAGCATGGAAAAATTTCAGTTTACAAAGTTTATTTCTCTGCCTGCATCATAATAATAATTCTGGCATTTGATATAGCGCCTTATCACGTCTTCGAGACGTCTCAAAGCACTTCACAGAATATACTGTAAAGTGAATTTACTATATTTTGTGGGTGAAACGCAGCAGCTAATTGTGCACAGCAGCGTCCCACAGACAGTCGCGGATTGAATGACCAAATTATTAATTTTTTAATATGTTTTTTGAAGGGCTTATTACCCCCGGCAAAGTGATTCGCCAATCGTCTAACAACTGGGTTCCTACTTACTGCTAAACAGAGACTTGTGGAGTAAAGAAACTTGCCCAACATTTTCCCCTGCCCGGGAATTGAACTCAGATCCTCTCGCTTGCGAGATGAGTGCTCTACTCACTAATGCACATTCACTCCACATTACAGTAATCAATTGAAGCATTTGAAGACATCCTCCTGATGTGAAAGGCGCTGTTTCAAAAGCAAGCATTATTATTATTTGTTCAGGGGTATCGGGAACCCTAATTAATATTTTTTGAGTGTTGGGAACAACTGGAGTCTATATTGCTCCTTCCCTCTTCCTGCTTCTCCCTCCCCATTAGCGACAAACTGTTGTACCAGTTGACAGTAGCCTACTCCATACAGATAGGTGTCAGTCTGGATCAGTTGTTTGTGTCCTTGTTTCTGGGCCAGAAAGTTGTGGCTTCATTCCCTAAATCGGATCTTGTAGCTAACAATCTAGGCTGAACGCACAGTGCTGGGGAGCTACATTGTCAGCCCATGAGACGTTAAACTGAAGTCATTTGACTTTTCAAGTGGACATTGAAGATCCTGTGACACTGTTCGAAAAAGAGAAGTTTCTCCCTCTCAATTAGTTAGTCATTCACTTCATGGCTGTTTCTGGGACATTGCTGAATGCAAATTAACTGCTGCGCTTGCCGAAAAATAAACAGTCACTGCACTTGACATTAGTTACCTGTGCAGAACTTTGAGGTGTGATATTATGAGTATGATAAGGAGTCCTGTAGCTCAGTGGTTAGAGCACTCGGCTGACAAGCGAGAGACCTGGGTTCAATTCCCAGCAGGGCGAAACCTTGGGCAAGTTTCCTTACTGCACACACCTGGTAATAATCCCTCCAAAACAAAAAAACAATAATAAATTGGTCACTCAATCCATAACTCTTTGTGGGACATTGCTGTCCGCAATTGTCTGCCGCGTTTCGCCCAAAAATATACAGTCAATTCACTTTACAATATAATCTGTGAAGCGCTTTGCGATGTCTAGAGATTTGAAAAGCTCTATATCAAATGCGAGGATTATTATTATTATTATGATACAGGATTATTATTGTTATTCATTATTAAAATTCCAAATCCTGACGTACTGGAGGCTAGCCTCTTAACATGGTGGTTTTACCCCCAGGGCACCATCCAAAGGACTGAACTTTATACACATTTATATTAAACATATGAAAAATCAGGACAGAATTAAACAAATTGTTCCATCCGCGTCACTTGTGGAATGTGTTTTGCTTTTTGTCGACGTCAGTAACAACTGGCTTCAACACAATTGAAGTCTGACCTTTGGTAAAAAAGATTTTAGGATGTTTTAGATATTTTGACAAGGGAGGCCATTGCCCCCGCATCAGTGTCAGGGTTTTTGAGAGAGTGGCCGCCCTCTAACAGGACAAATGGTCTTCTCCACCCACCACCCGCGCCCCTCCCCCACAGGGTGAATGGCCTCATGCTGCCCTCCACTAGCCACCAATGCTGAATGGCCATATTTGACTATCCTCCTTGGAGGGGAAGGTAAGTGGTATCTCCTTGGAGTTGAACTGACTCCAAGGTGATATATTTGGCAACAGACATCTGAATGAAGTCAATCCTCGGTGGTAGTCTTATAATAATCTTTGCATTAGTCCCTCCAATCCCTCCATGAAGCCTACCACCTGCTCCCTGGACCCCACCCCTCTCCTTAAATCCCAGCTTCACCTCCTTGCCTCACTACTCGCCGACATCATTAACCTCTCCCTGTCATCTGGCACTGTTCCTTCCCTCCTCAAACAGCCATTATCACCCCCACCTTGAAGAAACCTTCCCTTGATCCATTACAGCTATCCAGCTACCGGCCCATCTAAATCTCCTTTTCCTATCCAAGGTCCTTGATAGAGTCATTGCCTTCCAGCTTCGCTCTTTCCTCACCTTCCACTCCCTCCATGAACCCCTCCAATCGGGTTTCTGTGCTGCCCACAGCACGGAAACTGCTCTGTCAAGGTCACAAACGACATCCTGACCATTTGTGACCAGGGTTCCCTCTGCCTCCTCGTCCTCCTCAACCTCTCTGTCGCCTTTGACACTGTGGACTCCTCAATCCTCCTCCACCACCTCTCCCACCTCAACCTTCAAGGTTCTGTCCTTGACTGGTTCAGGACCTACCTTTCACACTGCCACCACTTTGTTGTGGCAAACGGCTTCTCCTTCAGCCCCCGCACCGTCTCGTGCGGTGTTCCTCAGGGCTCTATCCTCGGTCCCCTCCTCTACATGCTCCCCCTTGGTGACATCATCCACAGACATGGGGTAAATTTCCACATGTGGAGTCCTGTAGCTCAGTGGTTAGAGCACTCGTTTTGCAAGTGAGAGACCTGAGTTCAATTCCAGGCAGAGGGTGAAACCTTGGGCAAGTTTCCTTACTCCACACAGAGCCTAATAATAATCCCTCCAAAACAATAATAAATTGGTCATTTTCAATCTACGACTGTTTGTGGGACATTGCTGTGTGCAATTGGCTGCCGCGTTCGCCCACAAATATACAGTCAATTCACTTTACACTGTGTTCTGTGAAGCGCTTTGGGACGTCCTCCCGACGTGAAAAGCGCTATATCAAATGCAAGGATTATTATTATTATTATTATTATGTATGCGGATGACACCCAACTCTATCTCTCTGCCTCCACCCTGAACTCCAGGATTACTGGTGTCCTGACCGACTGCCTGTCCGACATCAAGTCCTCGACGAGGGACAACTCTCTCCAACTCAACGTCAGCAAGACCGAGGCCCTCCTGATTGGCTCACGCCAGCGCCTCCGCACGTCGGGCGCTAACAGCATCAGCCTCCACGGCTGCACACTCAACCTCACTAAGCCGGTCAGGAACCTGGGGGTCTTGTTTGACCCTGAACTGTCCACATCCGCGCCATGACCGGCACTGCCTCACCTCTCAGGGCTGAAACCCTCGCCCATGCAATTCCTATCTTCCTATGACACGAAGCAATGAGGAACAAATGAGCTGAGATTAATAGATATACAGATTATTATTGTTATTATTAATAATAATGTTATGATTAATGATAATGTTATTATTAATGATAGTATTAATAATAATTAATAATAATAATTAGTATCCTGTTTGATATAGCTCCTGTAAAGTGTATTGATTTTGCGCACAGCAATCTCCCGTAAACATTCATGAAGCAAACGTAACCATTTTTTTCTCTGAGGGATTTATTTGCCTTTAACCCTTTGTACTTGTGTTGTTTTTTACAGGTCATCAAACAGGAAGGCATTGAGGGAGAGATCCCAATGATAGGAGATAAGGTGTATGTTCATTACACCGGAACTCTCTTGGACGGAAGAAAATTTGATTCAAGCAGAGACAGAAAGGAACAATTTGCTTTTAATTTGGGCAAAGGTAAGGACCTCAACTCATGGTCAGTGCGGCTTGTGATCCAGAGCCCAATGTGTGGCCCAGGGGTGTGGCCTGGGGTGGTGCCTGGGGTGGTGAGGGGTGTGGCCTGGGGTGGTGAGGGGTGTGGCCTGGGGTGCTGAGGGGTGTGGCCTGGGGTGGTGAGGGGTGTGGCCTGGGGTGCTGAGGGGTGTGGCCTGGGGTGGTGAGGGGTGTGGCCTGGGGTGGTGAGGGGTGTGGCCTGGGGTGGTGAGGGGTGTGGCCTGGGAGTGAGGGGTGTGGCCTGGCAGAGAGGGATGTGGCCTGGCAGAGAGGTGTGGCCTGTGCGTGTGGCCCAGGGGTGTGGTTTGGGTGAGGGGTGTGGCCTGGTAGTGATGGGTGTGGCCTGAGTATGGAGTGTGGCTTGGTGACAGGGGGTGTGGCCCGGAGTTGGTGGGGTTTGGCCTGGGAGTTTGTGGTGTGTCCTGAGATTTGGGGTGTGGCCTGGCAGTGAGGGGTGTGGCCTGGGGTATGGGGTGTGGCCTGGCAGAGAGGGGTGTGGCCTGGCAGAGAGGGGTGTGGCCTGGCAGGGAGGGGTGTGGCCTGGCAGGGAGGGGTGTGGCCTGGCAGAGGGGTGTGGCCTGGCAGAGGGGTGTGGCCTGGCAGAGGGGTGTGGCCTGGCAGAGAGGTGTGGCCTGGCGCTGGGGGAGCAGATACTCGGCCTGAGGTGAAGAGCTGAAGTCAGTGTCTCTGACACTCTCCCCCAACACAGCACTGGGGTGTCAGCCTACACTCTGAGCCCCCCAACACAGCACTGGGGTGTCAGCCTACACTCTGAGCCCCCCAACAGCCTACACTGTGAGCTCAAATTCCAAAGGTGTGGTTGACCTCATAAGTCTCTGCAGGTGAGGCTGAGGAGCAGTTGGCATTGAATGCTGTAGCGCTGGTGTCTCATCCCTTGCATTAGGGTAGGATCCAGGCCAGAGGTGAAGGTCTCTGACTACCGTTATACGCCCTTTATGGTGCTGGAAGTGATGTGTATCGGGAAGCCTGACTTACACGTTCGGCTGCTTATTATCTTGGCCGAGAACTGGCTCTTTAATAACTATATAAAAAGAATTATTCTTTTTCAATGGGTTTGGCTGATGTAATGCAAATTGATGTTTACATCTCAATGCTCTCACTGCTCAGCCCCCAATTTGGACTTGATTTTTATATGGTTGGAATAATCACAAAAGATACAGTCCCAGCACAGCAGAAGAGTTGGATCTGAAAGTCAACTTGTTGTGAGATGTAATTCTGGATCAGAAAACTGCCAATAATAATAATACTCCTTGCATTTGTGTAGCACCTTATCATGTCTTTGGGATGTCTCAATTTAGTACTTTATCACTAAAGGAGTGTGTTGTTGAGTGTGATGGAATGTCTCTTGGTACGTTGGTGTTAATGCTGAGGTTTGGATCAATGTGGCCTGTTAAGGGCCCTGACCACAGTGTCTAAGGTAGAGTGAGGCTGACCTGGCAATACAGAGGGGCTGCGGTGGAAATGTTTGGCAAGAGATCGAATGTTGCTCACTGGAAAATTCCAAAAAATATTCTTTGTAAATTGGAAGCCACATGTTTCCATAACCTTAAGTAGCATCGTTTTCACCAAACGCAAAGTCTTTGGTTAATACCAATCCAGTGAAATTTTTTTACAACAATAATTCTTGTGTTTAACATCAAGGACATCTCAAAATGCTTCAAAGTATTTGACTAATGTGTTTGTAGGTGGATACCGCAGTCAATTCATGGCACAGCATTGTCCTACAAGCAGCCAGGGGAAGTGAGTGACCAATTTGAGGGTATGTTGGACAGGACTTCCCTTTAACGTTCACCTGAACAAGCAGACGGGACCTTGGTTTAAAATATCACCTGAAGGACGGCACTTCCAACAACACTCCTAGGACTGCATTACAGTGTCAGCCTGGAGACTTTGAGCTAAAAGTCTCGACGTGGACTTGAACCCATAAGTTCTGACGCAGGCTACACTTGTTTAGCTAGGCTTGGTTACAGAAGACGATCTGGCACACGGGATCGTATCGAGATGATCACGGTTTATTGAGTTTGGATTGGTGGCAACACTCCCTTGTGGTGGTTTGAGCGGCTAGATTCCAGGCAGTCTGTCAGGGTTCTTGTGGCCTCTGCCATTCTGTGCAACTGGGATAATTGAGCAGCTGGGATTCATTTGGAATAGTAGGCTTTGTGTGTGTGCACGCGCCCGGATGTGTGTGTGGGGGCTCAGTATAACACATCAGAAGTGAGGGAAAGGGATCCAGTTAAGCAATTGCTCAGAGTAATGGGAGGGCAGATGGTCCACACATGGCTGAAACCTACCATTCGTTTTATAGGTCAAGTGCTGAAAGCGTGGGATATTGGCATTGCTTCGATGAAGAAAGGCGAGATCTGTCAGTTATTCTGTAAACCAACCTACGCTTATGGGGCTTCAGGCAGTCCGCCCAAAATCCCTCCAAACTCCACATTAGTGTTTGAGGTAGGTGAGCCTCTTTACTCCACTCTTTACAGAGCTGCGGTTGTCAGCCTGGGAGTCTCTCACCCACTTCACATTGCCATCTTCCTACTCCCTGCAGCATTTGGCAACACCATTGGTGAAGTTGGATCGCACCTCGAGAGAGAGAGTGTGTTTTATAGCAAATGGCAGCCTGACAAAGGAACCAAGTCCAAACAATACAAGTGTATTCTATCTGGCCAGTCCCTTGTCCGAACATCATTTCTCAATCTCCCTCAATCTCCTTCTCTCCTTCAATTTGCATTACCATCAAGTGCAAGGATTATTGTTATTGGATTATTGTTTGCAATTTTGTAGACAGATTTCTTAATAAGAAATGTTTGAGTATGGAATTACTGAACCAGAGTGAATTCATAAGACATGCCTCATCGTTCAGTGTTTTAAAAATCCAACAATGACACGTTGATTATTAAAAAATTGGTTATGAAATACCGCAATTTAGACCCCAACTTTCCCATTGTGTCACCAATATGCGCCATTGGCTTCTGTGTGAAACAGTTATATTTGACCCTCTCTTTTCACCTTCCTCATTCTGAGTTTGATACTGTACTCCCTTGAGGTGGACTTTTTGTCAAATCACTGCCATGAATTTCTGCATGTATCAGATTACAGTGATGGGTTTTCATGTGGATCAGACACCCACTGACTAAAAACAAATTCAAATGAATTGGAGCCCAGCTTATCCCTTTAGGGTTCATTAACATCACATTATCAAAATCTTTCCTTTTTCATTTTTTTTCAGTGTAAACATTCCCATTTCCTCCAAACACAGCTACCTATACTCATGTATTACTTTTATTGTCCATCCTCTCCCGCTCACACAAACTTTAAGATCCTATGACGCTACACAGCGCTTTCAGCAAGGCCCTGTGAAGTAGTTTGAGATGTTTCAATTTTAGTAGCGCAATATCAAATGAAAGGATTATTATTACCAAGTCCTGGCCTGTTTTCAGATCTGTGTTAATTTTTCTTTTTGGACACATACAGAAATCTATCACAATGTTGGTCTATTTGGTCTGTTTCTTCCTTGCCCTATTGATGTTCTTTACTTATCTCGTACATGTTCCTTGTCTCCTACCTTGTTCATTATTCAAACTAACCCCCAGAAATTAACCGAGAAGGAAGGACAGCTCCATAGGTTTTTTCTCCCCATGCTCCAGGTTAACAACAATAACAACTTGCATTTATATAGCACCCTTACACGGGGCAGCATCTCAGAGCACTTAGCATCTTGGAGTACTGTACAGTGCCTTGCGGTTGGACACCGACCAAGGGAGAAGGGGATGGGGAGGTGACCGTGGGCGCCGTCAAAGAGGTAGCTTTACAAATGGGTTTTAAAGATAAGTAAAGAAGGGACAAATGGAAGAATTGAAGCAGGAAATTCCAGAGATTAGAGATATTGGATGAAGGATTAGTTCAGCAAAGCAGGTGGAGTGGAGCATGAGCAGATTGGAGAGGGAGGTGTTAGGGCATGAACAACAACAACAACAAGATTCCATTTATTGAGCGCCTTTCACATCGGGAGGATGTCCCAAGGCGCTGTACAGTTGGGTCAGGACCCGAGCAAGGGGGAATGGTCAGGGTGAGGGGAGGGAAGGGAGGGAGCGAGGAGGGGGTAGAGAGTCGAGAGGGGAGCTGAAGGCTCGGTCAAAGAGAAAGGTCTTGAGACCGGCCTTGAAGGAGGAAAGGGAGGAGGCGGCGAAGGCACTGGGGGATAGAGTTCCAGAGCCTCGGGGCTGAGAGGCTGAAGGCCTGGCCACCGATGGTAGGGCGATTGGGGCGGGGGATGTGGAGGAGACAGGAGCCAAAGGAACGGAGGGTACAGGCAGGTAGGTAGGGGGATAGTAGGTCGGAGAGGTAGGAGGGAGCGAGGCCGTGAATGGCCTTGTAGGTGAGGGTGAGGATCTTGAATTCGATCCTCTGGGGGATGGGGAGCCAGTGGAGGGGAGCGAGGGCGAGGGTGAGGGTGAGGGTGGGAGTGAGGGTGAGGGTGAGGGTGGGAGTGATGTGGTCGCGGTGTCTGGTGCGGGACAGTACACGAGCTGCAGAGTTCTGAATGACCTGCAGTGTGGAGGGAGGGCCGGGAAGGCCGACGAGGAGAGAGTTCCCATAGTCCAGCCTTGAGGTGATAAAGGCGTGGACCAGGGTTTCAGCCGCGTGAGGGGTGAGGTAGTGCCGTAGTCTGGCGACATTCCGGAGGTTTGTGAAGAGATTTATGAAGAGATTTGTGTAGTTAATATGCGACCTGTATCTCTGTTAGGCAGGATTATGGGTTGCAGGTTTGCTGTATGGTTGCACCTCTACAGTTGTCCTTTAAAACATATGTGAGGTTTCCCTATGAATAAGGTCCATTTAGCTGTAATAATAATAATCCTTGCATTTGATATAGCGTTTTATCGCATTTTCAAGATGTCTCAAAGCGCTTCACAGTTATACTTGAGTTATATATACTGTAAAGTGGATTCACTGTATATTTTGTGGGTTAAACGCAGCAGCCAATTGCACACAGCAGTGTCCCACAAACAGTCATAGATTGAGTAACCACTTTTTTTATTTTGAAGGGATTATTACCCCCAGGAAAGTGATCCTACTTACTGCTAGGTAAATAGTGTGGAGTAAGGTAACTTGCCTAAGGTTTCGCCCTGCCCGGGAATCAAACCCCAATCGTCTTGCTTGCAAGGCGAGTGCTCCAAACACTAAGATACAGGAGTCCACATAGAAATATCCACAATCCCTGCCTTGCACCTCTCACGCAGTCCAGTGCACCCTGCTGGACCTCACACCTGCTCTTAGAAGTTGGTTCAAGTAGGTTGTATCCTGACTCAATGCTGTTGATTATCATGACTCCAGTTCCTGTACGTTCGCACACCCGCAAGCTTTGTGTTATTGTGATGTAAATGTAAGCGCTTACTTGCCATCTGTTTCCACTGTTTCGGGGTTAATGAGGGGTTGTTGGCAGTACTGGCGGGTACTCTGGTTCATTCAGCAGGATGTTGTCCACATTCCTGTGCAATACACTGAGCGCATGCTTAACTAGGAGACTGTAGCATGTTTACACTCACTGCTTCATGATCGTCAATTGTATTAACCTGTATGATTGGCACAGCCCTACTGAGAACAAGTGGTCTGGGCATATTCACCGAGCCCCCCCTTCCCCTCCCCTCCCTCCCGCTCCTGCTTTCGTTCACCACTGCGCTGTCTGCCAGCTTACAGCCATGAGCTAAACCAAGGCTCGGGTCCCTAAAGGAACTTCAGTACTTCTTATGTTCTGTCACCAGGAAGTACTGTCAGTACTGGGTCATTGCCTAGAACCATAGACCATTATATCATAGAAGAAGGCCATTTGTTTCATTGTATCTGTGTTGGTTCTTTGAATGAGCAATCCATTCAGTCCCATTTACTCTCTGTGGCCCTCACCTCCTTCCAGAAGTCGGGTGATTCAGCTTTCCGATGCACAATAGCTGAATCACCCGACTTCTGCTTAAAGCAACTGCTTAACACCAACGAGCAGTAGAAGGAGTGCAAAATGTTACACATTACTTTCTACACCTGAATTAGCACAAATAGTCACGAGGGCAGTGCAGACAGGCTATCTTCTGTAACAGAGGTAAGGGACATAACACCAATCCCATTCAGACTCTACTTGGCCTGGGTGTGTATTTATGTGTGTGTCAGCCCAGCCCATTGTTGTACTCTTGCCTCTTGAGTCAGAAGGTTGTGGATAAGCCCCACGTCTCACATAATGTAAAGTGACAATCCAATACAGTCCTGGGGATGTGTTGCATTGTTGGAGGAAATGTTAAACTGAAGTCCTGTCTGCCTGTTCAGGTGGACATTGAAGATCCCATGCCACTATTGTCCTGGTCAACAATCCCCCAAATAAAATTGGTCTCTCACTCCATGGCTGTTTGTGGGACACTGCTATGTGCAAGTTGGCTGTTGGGTTTGCCCACAAATACACAGTCACTACACTTGACAGTATATACCGTGAAGTGCTTTGAGGTGCCTCAATGATGTGATGATAAGGCACTACGTCAAATGAAAGGATTATTTATTGTTATTTCTGATTCTTACACTCATGCTCAAATTCCTTCACTCTCTGGCACCTCCTACCTCTCCAACCTCCTCACTCACCCAATCCACCACCCGGCGCCTTGACTCGACTAGCGTCGGTCTCTGCTCGCCCCTCGCACACTCTGCTCCACCATCGGAGCATTCAGACCACTGCTCTCCGAAACTCTGGAACACTCTCCCTCAATCCCTCCGTCTTGCTCTGTCCCCTTTTTCAAGTCCCACCTGAAAACCTTCCTTTTCTACTGTGCTTACGGTCAACTCTCACTACCACCTCCGGTTTTGCAGCCCTTCTCAGACTCTGCCACTGTAAAGCGCTCTGAGACGCTACCCTGCATGGAGGGCACTGCATAAGTGCAAGTTGTTGTTTCAATTTCTGTAGTGGGAGCTGGTGGGGGTGCAGATCTAACAGCATCACTCACCAATCTCACATCATAGTCCTGCTCCACTTGTAACCATCAGCTTTATTGCTTCAGGTGGAATTAATACAGTTCAAAGGGGAAGACCTAACAGAGGGTGAAGATGGTGGCATCATTCGCAGGATTAAAAAGAAAGGTGAAGGTTACTTCAGCCCTAACGAAGGAGCGACGGTGGAAGGTATGTCCCGGGGTATAGGGCGTAATCATTGCACAACCCATTGCAGTGTCCTTGTTTGGGAGACATGCTTCACATCTGACAGCCCAGTCTAGATAGGAATATAGGAACAGGATAATAATAATAATAATAATAATCCTTGCATTTGATATAGCATTTTTCATATCTTCTAGACGTCTCAAAGCACTTTACAAAATATATAGTAAAGCCTATTCCGCCATGCTGCAAAATTGTGGGTGATCTGTACCTTAAAGCTCACGACTTTCATACTCAAGCTATGTATTGCTCTGGTCAAGCCGCACCGAGAATATTGCCCGACTGGCCTGTCCCACCATCAGCGGTTGGGCCTTCAGCCTTTCTGTCCCCACCTTTTGGAACTCCAATCCACAGTTCCTTCACCTCTCTCCCTGCCTTGCCTCCTTCATGGCCCATCTCAAGACCTTCCTCTTCGACCTTTCTATCGCCACCCTCCCTGCCTTCCAAACCACCTGATCCCAACTCCCAGCTTAGCTGCACATCCTTGACTGTCCAGTGCTTTGGCACGTCCTCCTGAAGTGAAAGACGCTGTCCAAATATAATTTGTTGTTATTGTTGTACAGTGAGTACTGTCACTGCGACAGAGACTTGCTGTTCCGTCCCGAAAGTCAGTGCAAAGGAGAGCCACGTAGATGACCAGTGTTAGAGGACTGAGCTGTACGCAACGATTAGACAAGCTAAGGCTCTTCAGTCTTGAGAGAGAACATTTGAGCGGGGACCTTATAGTGATGTATCAAATTTTAAAATCGACTGAAAACATAAAGACAGAACAAAACTTTAGGATGCAACAAGACAGGAGAGCAAGAGGACACAGGCGTAGAGTTGCAAAGGGCAATTTCAGGACAGACACTGTGAGGTTTGCCTTTACACAGAGGGTAATCAACGACTGGAACAGGTTGCCAGGAAGAGTGGTTGAGGCCGGGACACTGGACACGTTTAAAGAAGCAATTTGATGCTGTGATGGGATGTTGGGCGTTCTGGAGGGATGAGATCAGATGGGATGAAGGGCCTTCTTGGTCCAAACCAATCTCGTGATTGTATAAAACAAAAGGCAAAGTACAGCAAATGCTGGAAATTTGGTATAAACACAGAAGTCGCTTGGAACATATCGCAGGTAAGGCAGCATCTATGGATAGAGGGAACTGAGTTAACGTTTCAGGTCGATGATCTTTCGTCATAGACCTGAAACATTACAGCACAATATGGGTATAGAGCATAGTCCTGACGAAAGGTAACAGTCCTAAAACGTTAACTAATTTTCCTCTCTCCATAGATGCTGCCTCACCTGTGTCGTGATATGTATAAGCCAGTTTCACTTCACCTATTGGCAGGCTTTAAGAGCCACAATTACATTGTTGACATCAGTTACTCCTTCCATTGTGGAAACCTTAGTCCATACAGATCTCATGAGAAATGAGTAAGGAGTTACTTGTTTGAGTGATTGGTAGGAGATGAACCCTGTATGTGGCTGTTGATCTTATCACCCTAAGACCTTACTAGGATGATTGTCATTGAAACATTAAAGTTTTATATATAACAGGAGTGATCGCTTTGCTTTCTTCTCATAGAAAGCATTCAGGGCATTTTCCCTTTATTTTCCTCAGGGAACTAGTCTCTCAAACCTCTTCCTGATATAACAAGTGCAAATGGCTGAATATTGCCGTACCTAATCTGTGGTTTGACCAAGTTAGTCTGCCAAGCCTAGGATTTCCAACCCAAGGGGAGATAATAGCTTTAGCAGTTTTCCGTCTAGATTTTGGTTCTGCATTCAAATGGATGTTAAAGCTATGAGAAAGCAGAAAGTGGATGAGGAAAGGTTTAGAAAGATAATTAATTTTGTCTTTGAGATCAGCATAATAATATGCTGTACTAAACTTCATACCCCATCGCAACAGTTGTACCCAGGCTCCACAGGCTGCTTATTGACGAATGGCTCGATTTCAAGATCCTCACATTCATTTTCAAATCCCTTCATGCCCTGGCACCTCCCTACCCCTCCAACCTGCTTCCCCCCAACCAACTACCCAACTCCGCCCAACTGGCTCCATCCTCCTGCATGTCCCTCGTGCCCACTGTTGGTGGCCGCGCTTTCAGTCACTACTCCCCAAAACTCTGGGACACTCTTCCTCTAGAACACGCTTCCTTTGACTGCTTTCCCCTTTAATCAACAATCAGGCTCGATCAATTGGCAACCTCACCTCTGAGCAAGAAAGATGTGGGCTCAAGCCTCAAGTCGGGACTTTGTGCTCTTTTTTGATTCCAGTGCTGTACTGAGGGTGTATTGGATTGTCAGAGATATTAAAGCGAGGCCTTGTCTACCTGTTTATTTGGACATTAAAGATTCAAAAACATTATTCAAAATTATATATATTATACAGTATATTTTAGTATTTATTATACAAAAGGTCTCTAATACTGCACTGCAACCCAAATACTACTGGACCCCATATTTGGGATCCCCGTATTTGGAAAGAGAAAGGAGTTTGAAACCGGTCCTGGCCAGCAATCCCCCAGATAAAATTGGTCATTCAGTTCATGGCTATTTGTGGGACACTGCTGTGTGCAAATTGGCTGCTGCGTTTGCCAGGTGTACTTTGTAGAAACATTATGACGCCGTCCGGCGTGGAGGGCGCTATATAAATCCAAGGTGTTGTTGTTATGTTTTGAGTTCTTTGAGATGCTCTCGACATAATAGCTGCTGTATCAAGGACTATTATTGTTATTAAAAAAATTGGTTAAGAGCAACATGATATCGTAGCCCTGACAACCTGCACTTACGGAATGCCTTTCATGCAGGATAACACGTCAAAGTGCTTTACAGAGATGGGAGGATGAAAGGGAAGTGATTGAAGAAGCAGTGAAAGAGGTTAGTTTTCAGAAGAGCCTTAAAAGCTGAGAGGGAGGGTGAGAAGCAGACACATTTTGGAGAGATTTTCAGATAGCGAAGACAAAGTGGCTGAAACCTTGGCCACCAATGATGTTGTGGAAGCAACGGGATGAGAAGCAGACACAAATGAGTCAAGTGGAGGAACTGGGATCGCAGGAGATCTGAGGTCATTTTAAAATTAGAGCGAGGATTTTGAAATCAATTCACTGGGAACACAACAACATTTGTACAGTTCTTTTCACAATGGAAGGACTTCTCAAAGTGCTTCACATACTTGACCGGGAGCCTGGGCTGAGGAGAAGGAAGCTGGAGGGGGTAGTTAGAGGGAAAGTAGGGTCAAAAAGATAGGGCTTTGATGTTGGGGAGGGAGGGGTCACGCTGTGGGACTCTGGGATGGAATTTCGGAGACGGGGCAAAACAGCTGAATGGTGGGTAGATTGGACCAGGTTGTTAGCTGAGCGGTGTGGGAGGTCACGGAGGTCGGATGGAGTGAGACTGTGGTGGGAATCGACTGGGGTGTTGGATTCTATTGGTTGGGGATTGGAGAGACAGTACAGCCGAGCAAGGATGGGAGTGATAGGCTCAGTTTATTATTAACAGCAACAACGAAATTATATTTGTATAGCGCCTTTCACTTCGGGAGGGCGTCCCAGGGCGCTGGACAGACAGAGTTTCGGACCTGAGCTGGGGGTCGGGATCGGGGAGGGTGGACGGCAGGGGGAGCGGGATCGGGGAGACTGGAGGGCGGGGGGGTGGCAGGGTGATCGAAAGCACGGTCGAAGAGGAGGGTCTTGATGTGGGTCCCCACCGACCCCAGCTCAGGTCTGAAATGCTGTACTCTGTCCAGCGCCTTGGGACGTCCTCCCGACGTGAAAGGCGTTATACAAATGTAATCTTGTTGTTGTTGTTGAAGGTGGAGTGGGAGTGGACGAGGCAGAGGGATGGAGTTCCAGAGGGTGGGGGCAGAGTGACAGAAGGCCCGCCTGCCAATAGTGGGGCAAGTAAGGCGGAGGACGTGAAGCAGGCCGGAGCCCGCTGAGTGGAGGGAACGGGCAGGATTGTAGGGGGTTAGGAGGTCGCAGAGGTAGCGAGGAGCAAGACCATGGAGGGTTTTGAAGGTGAGGACCAACTGTATCCTCTGGGTGAAGGGAAGCCAGTGAAGTTGGGCGAGGATGGGGGTGATAGGGTCACACGGAGCCTGGTGTGGGAGAGGACACGGGCTGCAGAGTTCTGGATGATCTGCAGCCTGTGGAGGGAGGAGTTGCGGAGGCCGACAAGCAGTGAGTTTGCAGAGTCGAGCCTCGATGTAATGAAGGTGTGTGTGAGGGTTTCGGGGGCCTGCGGTGTGAGACAGTGGCGGAGCCGGGCGATGTTGCGGAGGTGGGGAAGGCAGAGCGGGTCATGGCGCAGATGTGGGGTAGAAAGGATAGTTGAGGGTCAAACAAGATGCCAAGGTTCTGGACTGGCTTAGTAAGTTATTTTTTACGTACATATTACATATTAGTAATATGTATGTAAAAAAAAGTGGCTGGTCCTGAGAGGCAAAAATTGTCCCTGGACCTGTCAGTATATGAGCGGTTAACTGGAATCCCAACAATGGAAAACAGTTTACAAAACTGATGACTATTTTATTTTGGGCCCCGAGTAAGGGTTCTTACAATGGGAGCTGAGTGCTGTGTTTCCGTGTCCTTTCAAAACTGTTATTTTGCATTCTTATAAGGAGCGGCTGATTTCAGTCAGAATGTACAGAATGTTCTATTCAGGCACTTCAACTTAATCTTGCTGCCAATCTCGCTGCAGTACATGATGTCCTTGCCAGAAGAAGTACCTCAAGGCAAACAGAAACAGGCTCTCAAAGAGGAAAAGGAAAAAAATAACTTAAAAGTTAAAGTCCACTTTAGCTTCCTCTGTTTCCATTACTTGCAAATGCACTGTAGGGGGAAGCGTGTGAGTCAATATCCTGCATGTCGTTGATCCGTGAGCGTTTGAATGGAATGTACCATTAATAATGACTTGTGTGCACTGTATCAATCCGAGACTGGTAAATGTGACTTTGCGACCCACAGTGTCTCCCATTTGTAAAGCTTGTTAGATACGAACGTGCAAGACTTTTCACTTGTTGTTACACTTCAAACTGATCCCTGCATTTGTGGAAACTTCTCAGAGCACTTCACAGGACATTGATGGAAATCGTCATGACTGCATTTGTGGACGAACGTGAAGCCAACTTTTTGTGTATACAGCAATGTCCCACAAACAGCTATTGAAACGAGTGTCCAATTTACCTGGAGAATTGTTGGCAAGGACAGCGAGAGAAACTCCCTTCTCTTTTCTGATAGTATTGTGGGATCTTACACAAACAGTCTCAGACGTCAGTTTAATCTCATCTGAAGATACCGCCTTTAGAGATACATCTCTCACACAGATAGGGCCGGAGTATCAGTCAACAACTCAAGTTCCCCACATAGCGTTTAGACTCCCGATGTGAAAGGCGCTATGCAAATGTTGTTGTTGAACTCGCATCGGGCTTACCCAGGGCCCAGAGTGCTACCAACTGAGCCAAGCTGACTCGTAACTAAAGGCTAAGCCATTAACCAGAACTGGTTGAAACCAAGATGAGACTTTTTATTTAGAAAACAAAAATGTGCTTTTTTGCTTAAATTTTATACACTTATCCACCTTTGATGTGTGCAGTTGAAGACCCCAAGGAGACCCGACTTATCAGCTTGTCTGCCGGAGAAGATAAGTGGGGTCTCAATGTTGTTCCAATGTGACGTGCCTGGGAGTAGAATATCGGAATCAAGTCAATCATCCAGGGTGGTCTCAGTGGTCCACTTCCTGAGCCAGAAGGGCCCACAGTATTCTAGGACACTGCTAATGACAGACCAGTTAAGCAGGACTTGGAAGGGCAGACTGGTCACTGGGGGCAAGAATTCTTCTCACGTAGCTCCTGTTAACTCTACAAACCAACACAATCCTACAATGGGTTGCAGAAGCAGGATACTTGGCAACCAATGCTCTCAATGGCAAGCTTTGTGGTTTTGAGGTGATTAAATTGCAGCAGTTACCGCAAGTCCCACATCAGAGCTTTGAGCTCACAGTGCAGGCTGGCATAACAATTTACATTTGTATAAAAATAATCCTTGCATCTAGCACCCAAGCTTTGGCCCTTGTCAGCCTCTGTCTTAATACTTTCGGAGATTATGTTAAACAGAGTGCATCCTTCTGGGCAGAGTATGTACCTTCTATTCCAAACAAAGGGAAATGACCCTGTGTGAGTGGCATGGATGTATGAAATGCTGAGTCTGGTTTGGATACTCTTACACTCAGCGATGGGGAGAGCGCGGGGGAGTGGGATTCATTCGGTAGCTCTTTTCAAAGACCCGGCACAGACACGATGGGCTGAATGGCCTCCTTCTGTGCTGTATGATTCTATGGGCTTTTGTGTGTCACTTGACTGACCAATAAAAAATATGCCTTGAATTTCTGTGGGGGGAAGACAATTGTACCTCTCTGGGTTAGAAGGTCGGAGAGGTGGGCGGGAGGTGCCAGGGCATGAAGGGATTTGAAAACGAGTGTGATAGAAGCTAGTGGAGCCCGGCTAGAACTGGTGTGATGTAAATATATATTTTTATTTATGTAACGCTTTTCGCATCAGGAGGAAATCTCAAAGTGATTCATGCAGTTTCCTGGACCTCCGAGATGGGGTTAGGAGTGATGCTGCACGATCGGGGAAGATGGGGTGGAGGAGAGATGGATGACAAAAAGAGGGAGGGAGGGGGCAAGATAGAAGGCCACTGGCATGGAGTTCCAGAGAGCTCCATTAGAATGGTTGAATGCTCGCCCACAGTTGGAGATTGGGTGGGGGGCAATGAAACAGGTTGCTGTTTGCTCAGTGAAAATAGTGACCAGTTTAGGAGGTCATAGAGGCCGGGCAGTGTCCTGGCCAACAATCCTCATTAGAATTGATCATTGACTTCACGGTTGTCTGTGGGACACAGATTGATTACTGCTTTCCCTGACAATTATACAGTCACTAAACTTCACAGAAACTTGATAAAGCCCTCTGAAATATTTGATGTTAAATTCATGATATGAAATCTAAAGAGTATTGTTATTTTTATTTGTTTTAAATCTCGAGTTTTGTTCTCTGAACTCCACATCTCCAACACAACTTTTCCACAGAGCAACGTGTGATCCGCTCTGTTGATAAAATAATAATCTTTACATTTGGTAACTCTGCTTTCCACGACAGGAGGATATCTCAAAATGCCTCATGGGATAATAATAATGATAATAATCCTTACGTTTGATATCGCGCCTTATCAAGTTGTTGAGACGTCTCAAAGCTCTTCACAGAATATACTGTAAAGTGGTGTGACTGTGTATTTTGTGGGCGAAGCACAGTGGCCAATTGCGTACAGCAGTGTCCACACACAGTCGTAGATTGAGTGACCAAATTATTATTATTATTTTTTTTTGAAGGGATTATTACCCCCAGAAAAGCGATCCGCCAATCAACTAAAAAACAGGTTCCTACTTACTGCTAAGTAAACAGAGGCGTGCGGGGTAAGGAAACTTGTTTCATCCTCCCCAGAAATCAAACCCGAGTGCTCTCGCTTGCAAGGCTCTAACCAATAGACAACGGGAATCTATGTACTGTAAAGTGTTTTGTAGGTGAACCCGGCAGCTAATTTGCACACAGCAACGTCCCATAAATGAGTGACCAGTTATTATCTGGTTCTGAAGTCGGGCAATCTGCTTCAGTTAAAAAAACTTTTGTTTGCTGCTAACTTGGCCTAAGAGAAGTCGTCTTGTTTTTCTTCCCCCCGCTCCCTACCCAACCCTCCTACTCCCCTCCTCCCCCACTGGTTGCTATCCCCCTCCCCCCCCCACAGTTTCCATACAAGGGAAGTGCCAAAATGTACTGTTTGACAGACGGGAAGTCAAGTTTGTGGTCGGGGAAGGAGATGATCGTGATATTCCAATCGGGGTGGACAAAGCAGTGGAGAAAATGCAGCGAGGAGAGCAGTGCCTTGTCCACCTCAAATCCAAGTGAGTGTGAGACCAGATAAAGCAGGGCTTGACTTTATTTTAATACTAATAATAATCCTTGCATTTAATATAGCACCTGATTACATCAAGACGTCTCAAAGCACTTCACAGAATAGACTGTAAAGTGAATTGGCTGTGTATTTTGGCAAAACTTTTGTTTGCTGCTAACCTGGCCTAAGAGATGTCGTTTTCGTTTTCTTCTCCTCCCTCCACACACCCCCCCTCCTCCCCCACTGACTGCTCTCTCCTTCCCCTGCAGTTTCCTATATACAACAACAACAACAACAAAATTACATTTATAGAGCGCCTTTCACGTCGGGAGGACGTCCCAAGGCGCTGGACAGTCATGGGTCAGGACCTGAGTATGGGGGAGGGGTGGGGTAGAGGTGAGGGAAGGCAGAGAGGTGGGAGGGCGACCGAAGGCATGATCGAAGAGGAGGGGCTCGAGACCGGCCTTGAAGGAGGCGAGGGAGGAAGCGAGGCCAAGGGACCGTGGGATGGAGTTCCAGAGTGTGGGGGCAGAGAGGCTGAAAGCCCGGCCACCGATGGTAAGGCGGGTTGGGTGGGAGATATGGAGCAGACCGGAGCTCGCTGAACAGAAGGAGCACCAGGTTGATAGGGAGTCAGCAGGTCAGAGAGGTAAGATGGAGAAAGGCCATAGCTTGACATACACAGTCCATAGCGGATCAGTGTTGTACCAGGGTGTGTAATAACAAGGGATCATCCTGTGTGTGTATTACACCATTGCAATGTTCTGTTTAAGAAAAATCTGATCATTTTGTCTTGAAAGAAACAGGAAATTGATAGCCCCACAACCTAGGGTTCTTTCACCTGAAACCCCACGCACTGTCTTGGCCTGTGAATTACTTTGCCAGGGTGTGTATGAATGGGGCCTCCTGTTTCTCTTCCCCCGCCTCAAGCAACTTTAGAACTGAAACTCAGAAGTTTTGCAACAGACCCCGTCCCCCCCATCCCGACTGCTTTATTATCTCTATTCCTGCGGCCACTTTCTTGTCTCCTTTACAGCCATAAGGAAGCAGCGATGAGTTTGTACTCTTGTTTTCAAGGTTGTTTTATTTACCAGGAGCAACAGCTGCAAAGGAACGTACAATGTTGTCTGACGATGGGGGAGAGAGGGAAACTGCCGTGCATGTTATCTGGGTTCATAACTAAGCTGTGATATTGAGTAATAATTGTTTGTTCTAGATATGGCTTTGGTGAGAAAGGTAGACCTGAGTTCAACATCCCGCCAAACTGCGAGCTGGACTACGAATTGGAACTGCGGAGATTTCAGAAGGTGAGAAGAGGATTGTTTCATTGCTACTAAATAATTAATCAAATAAATAATAATAAATATCGTTTAACTTGTTGGGGAGGTTTCTCAAGCAATTTATTCAATAACACATAAAAGGTCCCGGGTTCTTCCCAACCTGCGCCTATTACTTTCCAGAATTAGGTAAAAAGGACGTATCCCTCCAGGGAGAGAGAGCGCATTCCATTCCAACAACCTGTCTCTGGGATTTCCATGTGTAGGTGGGATGCCTGGAATTCTCAGCTTAGTTTGGATACTATTAATCACCGTGATGGGTTTCCGTGTGTGTCAGACACCCGGCTGACTAAAAAGCAATCCCAGGTTCTGAGTTCCTGATCTCCGATGGCCAGACTTGTAACAATAGGCCTCAGCACCTCTGGGCTAATGGAGGACTGAGAGTTCTATTAAAGCCATAGATTCCATTACCTTTGACACAGCCACTCCACTTGTTCCATGATGTTGGATGGGTAAACCTGCTTGTTAATCCTAGTTCCTTGCCTTAATCCCCCATCCTCCCTTTTATTGGGTCCTGAAGGAAGGAGCTGATTCCCTGCACCAGAAACATGTCTATGAGTGAGTCATGAATGAACCTAATGAGCACAGAGCAGTCAGCCGCGGGTCAAAGGCCATAAGTCTTATTAAGTCCATGACTCCATAAGTAAAGCAAAGCTGCTCAGTCTTGAACCAATTGTTACCCAATGCGTATCTGTATACAATGTCAGCAACTTCACTTAGGGGGGGAGAGGGGTGGTTTGCAGTGTAGAGCTGGTGGGGAGGGGGCGCGGGGCTGAGGGGCTAATTTGGGGATGAACCAGAACGACATCTCTCTTCATTTAACCACCAGGCCAAGGAATCCTGGGAAATGCACATTCAAGAGAAGCTCGACCGGGCAGCAACCGCGAAATTGAAGGGAACTTCGTATTATAAGGTGTGTGTGGGAGAGTGTGTGTGTGTGGGAGAGTGAGCATGTGTGACTATGTGTATGTGTGTGTGTGGGAGAGTGAGCGTCTGTGTCTATGTGTGTGTGTGTCTGTATGTGTGTGTGTGTGGGAGAGTGAGCGTGTGTGTCTATGTGTATGTGTGTGTGTGGGAGAGTGAGCGTGTGTGTGTATGTGTGTGTGTGTGTGTGTGTGTGTGGGAGAGTGAGCGTGTGTGTGTCTGTATGTGTGTGTGTGGGAGAGTGAGCGTGTGTGTGTCTGTATGTGTGTGTGTGGGAGAGTGAGCGTGTGTGTATGTGTGTGTGTGTATGTGTGTGTGTGTGGAGCAATAGGCACTGATCAGAGACATTCTCTTTGTCACCTCTCAGCTTAACTGATTGAAAATGGTTGCTCAGGAGCAGAGGTGAACGGACCAGACACCTCTGCTTCTGATGTTCAGGTGTTACTGTTCACGCCTCTGGGTCAGAGGTTGTGGGTTCGAGCCCCACATCAGGTGCTTTGAGCTCCCAGTCCAGGCTGACCCTCCAGTGTGGTGGAGCAATGTGTTGTTTGAGATGCCGTCCTTCGGGTAAACATTTAATTGAGGCCTATTCACTGTGCCCAGGCTAACTGCATTGCGAAAAGAACATGGAGTAGTGGGGCAAGGAGGTGAAGCTGGGATTTGAGGAGAGGGGTGGGGATGGGGTCTTGGTTGTTGCGAGAGGTGGGCCAGAGGGGGAGGAGTTCAGAGGACTCCAGGGCAGCGGAGAGGGATTGCGGGGAGATCTTCTACCATGGGTAGAAGATGGTGGTAGGTTTGGAGGCAGTGGGGAGAGGGATATAGGATTCGCTCCCTGAGCGAAATGAAATGGTGGTCAGAGATGGCCTTGTCAGTGATGGTGACATCCGAGACGCTGAGGCCCCAGGTGATCACCAGGTCGAGTGGGTGACCGTGAGTGTGGGTAGCAGAGTGGATGTGGAGGGAGAGGTTGAGAGGAGAGAGAAGTGTGAGGAGGTGGAGCAGGAGGGGGTGAAGTGGAGGTTGAAGTTGCCAAGGATGATGAGGCGGTTGGAGCAGAGGCAGAGGGAGGCGAGGAGGGTGGAGATGTCAGAGATGAAGGTGGAGGAGGATTTTTTTTTGGGGGGGGATAAATTAGGATAAGGTTTAGTGAGAGGTGGGAGGGATGGCAGAGGATAAGGTGTTCAAAAGAGGGGAATGAGCCAGCAGATTAGGGGGATAGGTCAAGTCCTGGAGTCCTGTAGCTCAGTGGTTAGAGCACTCGCTTTACAAGTGAGAGACCTGAGTTCAATTCCAGGCAGAGGGCGAAACCTTGGGCAAGTTTCCTTACTCCACACACCTAATAATAATCCCTCCAAAACCAAAAACAATAATAAATTGGTCATTTTTAATCTACGACTGTTTGTGGGACATTGCTGTGCGCAATTGGCTGCCGCGTTCGCCCACAAATATACAGTCAATTCACTTTACAGTGTGTTCTGTGAAGCACTTTGGGACGTCCTCCCGACGTGAAAAGCGCTATATCAAATGCAAGGATTATTATTATTATTATTAAGTGACACCCTGGTGATGAGGGCCACACCATTGCCACGACAATTGGGGCGTGGGGCATGATGGTAGTGTAGCCGGGTGGTGTGGCCTCAGTGAGGGAGAAGGTGTCACCTGGGATGATCCAGGTTTCAGTGAGTGCCATGATGTCAATGTTCTCATTGAGGATGAGTTCATTGATGGCCAGGGTCTTGTTGGAGATGAAGCGGACATTTTGAAGGCCAATACGGAGTGGACAGTTGGCAGGGGGATGTGTGGGATGGGAGGGGGTAGTGGAATGGTTGGGAGGGAGGGAGGGGATGCGAATGAGGGAGGAGAGATTAGCCCCCGGGGTCAGGGGCAGGGGTGGCTTGCGGCGGTAGTGGGGAATGGGGCAGTCGGTGTGGCTGCTGCTGGACAGCCAGCGCCGAGTGCCACGATGAGCCTGGCGGAGGATTCCCAGGCTAGAGCAGAGGGAAGCAGTGTGGGGGTTAAGCAGAGATAGGAGTTGGGGAGGGCGGGGAGAGAGCAGGACAGAGCGGCAGAGTTGCAGGGAAGGGGGCATTTTGAGGGAGGGCCAACTTGGGTTGGGGGCGGCAGCAATGATGCACACCCTGGTACAAGAGGCGGCGGGTTTAGTAGGAAATTATCAGCCTGCAGGAGGCTGGGGGGCGGCTAGGGTTGGCGCAGAGGGCGAAGGGTCCTCATTGTGGTTAGCAATGAGCAGCCTGACCCTGCAACAGGGGAGACAGACGGACAGACAGACAGACGGAGGGAGGGAGGGAGACACTGGTATAGACTATAGTGTACTGTACCTGCTACCAGGGATTAGAACCTGGCGGGTGGAAGTGAAGTCACGCAGAATGGTGGGAAAATCTCAAAGTCCAAAATGGAGGCTCCCCCTGACCCGGTGATGGCCACCGCTCGATCCCCACGACACCCCCCGCCCCACCTCAAGGTCCACGAGACCCCCGGCCCAGCCTGCAGCTACCGGCCACTGCCTCTGGCTAACGTCGGCCCCGATCCCCAGGAGACCAGCCCTGTGACTCCCTGCCGCTTCCTGGCTTACCTTCCGTGAGTCCCGCTCGGTTTATCTGGGTTTTCGAGGCTCTGCCGCTCGCTGGCTCACGACTGGCAAACTCTAAAATAATAATAATAATTCTTGCATTTGATATCGCGCCTTATCACGTCTTCGAGACGTCTCAAAGCGCTTCACAGAATATACTGTAAAATGTAGTGACTGTGTATTTGACTGTTAGTGGGACAATGCTGTGCACAATTGGCTGCCTCGTTTCACCCACAAAGTATGCAGTCAATTCACTTTACAGTATTTTCTGTGAAGCGCTTTGGGACGTCTCGAAGACATGATAAGGCGCTATATCAAATGCGAAGATTATTTTCATTATTTTGTGGGTGAAACGCGGCAGCTAATTGCGCACAGCAGTGTCCCACAAACAGTCGTGGATTGAGTGACCAAATTATTATTTTTTTCAATTTTTCTTTTTTTTTAAGGGATTATTTTCCCCGGAAAAGTGATCCGCCAATCGACTAACAACCGGGCTCCTACTTATTGTGCAGCAAGGAGACTTTAAAATGAAATATTTGAAAAAGAAAAAATATAAAAGCATGTGGGGAAAAGGTAGGGGAGTGGGACAGAGACCCACCACAGGTACGATGGGCCGAATGGCCTCCTTCTATGAGAAATGAAAGCACACAGCACTGCCCCCAGTCAGTGTAAACTTTCACCTTAAAGTTCTTGACGTGGGGCTTGAACGTGAGTGACTCAGCCCCAGGCTGACATTTACTTCCAAATTTTGGGGGGTACAAATCAAACCCCAAATTCACATGCCTCCAAACATAGCGCATGCACTCAACAACAACAAGATTCCATATATAGAGCGCCTTTCATGTCGGGAGGACGTCCCAAGGTGCTGTACAGTTGGGTCAGGACCCAAGCATTGGGGAGGAAATGGTCAGGGTGAGGGCAGGGAAGGGAGGGGGCGAGGAGGGGGGAAATGGTCAGGGGGGGGGAAGGGAGGGAGCGAGGAGGGGGTAGAGGGTCGAGAGGGGAGCTGAAGGCACAGTCAAAGAGAAAGGTCTTGAGACCGGCCTTGAAGGAGGAAAGGGAGAAGGCGGCGAAGGCTCTGGGGGATAGAGTTCCAGAGCCCCGAAGGCACTGGGGGATAGAGTTCCAGAGCCATTTGCCCCACTCTCTGGAACTCCATCCCTAATGGAGCCCCTTCATCTCAACCCTTTCTTCAAGGTTCGTCTCAAAACTTTACTGTATTCCCCTTTTCTCCCCCGCTCCCACTGCTCCTTGGCCCCACTCCTCCCGAATGTAACTCCCAGTTCGGGTGTTAACCCTCGATTGCCCAATGCCTCGGAACGTGAAAGGCGTCAAATAAATGCAAGTTGTTGAAGAAATAACCCACTGTTTTAGGGGAAATGTTCAGCTGTGCCCATATAATACAGTCACACTCGGATTCGTCTGGTAACTCAGGTGCAGCTACTTACCCACTTCACAGAACACTGATTCCTGAATGGGTTTTAACAAATCATTAAGGAGGACATTGATGTGCGCAGATTATCTGCTGCGTTTGCTACACTTTACAGTAAATTCCTGTGCAGGGGTTTGAATCCAGAACAAGGCGGCATAATCTTAAAATTAGAGCCAGGAGTGAAATTGGGCAGTTTTTTACCCAAAGGGCAGTGGCAATCGGGAACTCTCTATCCAAAAAGGCTGTGGATTAAGGCTGGATCCATTCACATCTTAAACACTGAGGTGGTTAGATATTTCTCAGGTCAGGGAATCAAGGGATATGCGGCAAAGGCAGGTAACTGGAGTTGAGGTACAGATCAGCCATAATCTTATAGAATGGCGGAACAGGCTTGAGGGGCTGAATGGCCTACTCCTGTTCTTTTGTTCCTATGAAAGGTACTATATCAAATGCAAAGATTCTTATTGTTATGAAAATCATTGTTTCTTCAATACAATTTTTTTGTGCCAATATTGCCTGGTGAGTTTGCAAGGTGAGCAGCAAGTGGAGGGGATTCACAAGGGAGCTGATAATAACAAAAGGGGAGAGAGATTTATACTTCCTGCACTGCCATTCCTCTCAGGGGTTTAAACTCAAATAATAATAAATAATAATAATATTTGCATTTGATGAATGTCGGGATGACAATGGACTGCAGTAGACGAGTTGGTAGCTCTTTCAAAGAGCTAGTACAAGCACCATGGGGCAAATGACCGACTTTTGTGCTGTAAGATTCAATGATTCTGGGAGGACGTTTCAAATCGCTTCCCAGGATTTACTGTACAGGTGACTGGATATTTTACAGCAGCTAATTTGCATTCATTAATGCCCCAAACCGAGTTTGTTAATCTGCTGATGGTAAAAGGAGGGTGTGTGTGAGTGGCAGAATGCTTTGAGTGGGCAATGAGGGATTATAATAATTTATTAATAATAATCTTTGCATTTGATGCACTGCCTTATCACATCTTCGAGTCGTCTAAAGGGCTTCAGAGAATATACTATAAAGTGAATTGACTATGTTTTGTGGGCAAAATGCAGCAGCCAATTATGCACAGTAGCGTCCCACAAACAGCCGTGGATTGACATCAAATATACAGTCAATTCACTTTACAGTATATTCTGTGAAGAGCTTTGAGACGTCTTGAAGATATGATCAGGCGCTATATCAAATGCAAGGATTATTATCAGTCTTTGTAAATGTTCCCAATTCCTGGATTTATTTCTCCTCTTGTCCCAGGCTGGAAAGTACATCCAGGCTGTGATCCAGTACAGGAAGATCGTAATGTGGTTGGAGCAGGAGTATTGTTTAGCACAGGAAGACAGACAGTATACCAGAGCTCTGCTTCTGCCTGGACATCTCAACATGGCCATGTGCTATTTAAAACTGAACGAACACTTGAAAGCAGTAGAGAGCTGTAACAAGGTCAGAATGGTAACATCAAACCTTCCTCCACTGTACAGCATTATGTTTGCTATTTTATTGGGAACCAGCGCTTTGGGACCTCCTCCTGACGTGAAAGGCACTATACAAATGTAATTTTGTTATTGTTGTTGTTGTTGTAACATTATTACAATAATAATCCTAGTATTTTTGATATAGAACATTATCACAATGTCAAGATGTCTCAAAGCGCTCCATGGGATTTTACTGTAAAGCGCAGTGTCTATTTTGTATGTAATAGTGGGAGTGAATTTACACACACACACAGCTACATCCCGCAAACAGTCAATAAGTGAATGGCAAATTATATCTGAGGAATTGTAGAGTCCTGTAGTGTATTGGCTGGAGCACTTATCTCGCAGCGAGAGGACCTGGCTTTGAATCCTGGGCAGGGTGAAACGTTAGGCAACTTTCCTTAGTCCACACACCTCTGTTTAGTCAATTGGCGGATTGCTTTTCCGGGGGTAATAAAAAAAATTTGGTCACTCAATCCATGACTGTTTGGATTGGTTGCTGTACTTTGCCCACAAAATATACAGACAATTCACCTTACACTATATTCTGTGAAGCGCTTTGAGATGTCTCGAAGACGTGATAAGTCACTGTTATTATTTATTCTCCCTCTAAGTCTCATCAGACAATGTAAGATATTTTTTACTAGCCATCCATTGATCTGGGTCTTACACAGAGATACCAGCACAGGCGTGAAGGCCTGAATGGTGAATGGCCCCTGTGCTTGAACTCTGTGGGGAATTATGTGGGTTTTGTGTGCCGTGTTATAGAAAAGCCCTAAATCTTACTGTATACATCCCAGTCTCACCCATGGTGTATTATATTGGTATTGTATTATATTATATCATACTAGCTGTACCTGTTGCTTGTCACCAGTTTCATTTAATTGGTCTGTCTATCCCCTGGTATTTTTATTTGTCTTTGAAAGGCTTGATCTTCGCTTCTTCAGCATCTTTATCGCTTAAGAAAATGTGCTATTGAACTTGTTAGCATCCCTTGTTCACATATTTGCAAACATATCCTTTTTTGGAAGACTCCTGCTGGTAAGGACTTCTGTGGGAGAACTCATGTTGGGAGGACTCCTTGTTGCAATCCATACATATGTGATGAGCTTGTTTAGGTCACAACAGGAGATCTCCAAAATAAATTTATGCCCATGACACTCCCCCATGCAAGAACATTCCAATGAGGTATATATCATGACTCTACGTCAATGATTATTGCATTCTTAGCGGAAAGACACACAGTCATTTTGTCTTTATTAGTATAGATTATATGATATTTTATCATTATATTGTATTTGATTATTGTATTATTATTGTTCTTTTTTATTACTTTGTATTATTACCTCTCTGGAGGCTCTCACACACTGTGTAGGATATAGAATGAGCAGAGAGAGAGTTAAGATTGGTTTTAGATCCTAAGCAAAGGGAATCCAATGGAATCATTCAGCATTATGATCTCTCAGAGGGTAAACATAACAATATAATAATAATCCTTGCATTTGATGTAGCGCTTTTCACGTCTTCCAGACGTCTCAAAGCGCTTCAGAGAATATACTGTAAAGTGAATTGACTGTATTTTTTTGTGGGCGAAACACGGCAGCCAATTGCGCACAGCAGTGTCCCACAAACAGTCGTGGATTCAAAGTGACCAATTTATTTTTTTTGGTTTTGGAGGGATTATTATTACATGTCTGATTATTTCCCACTGCTCGGTGACTCTGTAAAGGAGCTTAAAGGAGAGGTTCCAACACATTTGTCCACTCAGTGTACACCGGCCAGCTTCATTTTTCCTGCCCGCCCCATCACCCCTACATCCCCAGCCATTCTGTCCCCTCTGTGGAACTCCATCTGACTTGAGCGCTTAGAGACACTATATAAATATAAATGCAGGTTATTGTTGACGACCTCTGCCTCTCCCTCCCATTAAAGCCTGCCTTAAACTCGACTCTTCAATGGCACTTTTGATCATCTCACCCCACCCTCCCTCCTTCCACATGCTATCCTGCTCAGTTCTAAGGTTCCCAGCTCGCTATTTGAAATGCTTTGAGCACTCCTCCTGACATGAAAAGAGCTGTATAAAATGTAAATGCTGTTGTATAAAGGGCCTTTTGTGCTGTGATAAGTTTCGGTTTCCACTTTTGAAAAGGAATTTGAAGAACGACAAAGTGGTAAGTGGTAGATTTACGGGAATTAGAGCAGATAGCTCCAGGGAGGTAGAGCTCAGATGGCACAGGGATGAGAAACCTTCACCTCTTCTGAACTTTCTAGAGAGGCATTGCACACAGAGGTGTATCTGTGTGGCACAGTGAAGTCCTGCACTCAGTGGTTAAAGCACTCGCCTCGCACGTAAGAGACCCGGGTTAAATTCCTGGCAGGGCGAAACGTTGGGCAAGTTTTCTCATCCACACATCTCTGTTTACCGAGCAGTAAATAGGAGTCCAGTTGTTAGTCAATTGGCGGATTGCTTTTCTGGGGGTAATAATTCCTTCAAAAAAATAAAAATAATAATAAATTCATCACTCAGTCCACGACCGTAGAACGATGTTTGCCTATGGACAGATTTACACAGACTATACAGCACAGAAACAGGCCATTTGGCCCAACCAGTCCGTGCCAGTGTTTATACTCCATACAGGTCTCCACCCATCCCTTACTCCCTCCCAAACCCTCTTTTCCCCTCTCCCTCATGTGAAGGTCTAGCTGCCTGTTAAATGCATCTGGAATGTGTCCCAGCAAGTGCTTTGGGAACTACCCTGAGTGAGGGGTGCTGTATAAATACACGTTGTTGCTGTGGAGTCCTGTAGCTCAGGGTTAGACCACTCGCTTTGCAAGTGAGAGACTTGGGTTCAATTCCCGGCAGGGTGAAACCTTGGGCAAGCTTCCTTACTCCACATGCCTGATAATAATCCCTCAAGAAAAAAAAATAATAATAATTTGGTCACTCAATCCACGGCTGTTTGTGGGACTCTGCTGTATGCAATTGGCTGCCACATTTCGCCCACAAATATACAGTCAATTCACTTTACAGTCTATTCTATGAAGCGCTTTGAGACGTCGAGAAGATGTGAAAAGTGCTATATCAAATGCAAGGATTATTGTATCTATACTATCTGATTCAACCACTGCTTCAGGCAGTGAGTTCCACATTCTCACTATCCTCTACGTGAATACATTCCTCCTAAATTCTCTTTTAGATGCCTTAGTCCCCTGCCTTACCTCCTTCAAGGCCAGTCTCAAGACCCTCCTCTCCTACCTCTACCCTCTTTACCCTCCATCTCTCCTGATCCCACCATCCAGCTTGAGTCTATATCCTTGACCATCCGGCACCTTGGGACATCCCCCCGACGTGAAAGACCTTGTGTAAATGTAATTTCTTGTTGTTGTTGTCCCCCATCTGAAGCGTGTGTGATGTGTAATAAGGAAGATAAATTAGCTCAGAGGCTCTGGAACTCCCTTCCTCACTCCCTTCGCCTCGCCCCCTCTCTTCCTATTTTCAGGTCTCGGCTGAAAACCTTTCTTTTTGATCGTGCCTTTGGTCACCTTCCCCCCCCCCCCCCTCCCCCCGGCTCCTCCCCCTCCCCCTGGTTCGTCCCCGGGATCTGTTACTGTGAAGTACTCTGAGATACCGTCCGGTGTGGAGGGCACTGTATAAATCTAAGTTGTTGTTGTAAATTAGGAATTATTTTGTGATGCAACTTGTTGTTTGCAGGCATTGGAGATGGATGGATCCAATGAGAAGGGACTTTACCGGCGAGGAGAGGCCAGGCTGCACATTAATGAGTTTGATCTGGCAAAGGCCGATTTCCAGAGAGTCATTCAAGTCAACCCCACAACAGGGCCGCCCGCACTCAGCTCCTCCTGTGTCAGCGCAGGCTGAAGGCTCACCACGAGAGAAACCGCAAGATTTACGCCAACATGTTCCAGAAGTTTGCAGAGAGAGATCAGCAGGTGAGAGGGGGAGGGCAGAGGGAAGGACAGTCACCCAGGCCTACCCTGGTCACACCCAGGCTAGTGAAAGCCTCCATAGCGCCTTTGTGGTCATTTTGTGGGACGTTGCTGTGTGCATTTGGTTGCTGTATTTCACCCACAAAATCCACAGTCACTCCACTTTACAGTATATTCTGTGAAGCGCTTTGAGACGTCTCAAAGACATGATAAGGCACTGTATCAAATGCAAGGATTATTATCATTAACATTCCTAATCCCAACTCGTGTCTTGCAGGCAGAAGCCGGCAATTCGTCACGACACAAAAGCAGCAATGCTCCTGAGCAGTTGGAAGATGGTTCACCGAGGGAAAAGAAAGCCAGAGAGGCCGAGTGAAGATGGCCTGGGTCAGTGTGAAGGGTTTAATGGCTGGGACTGGAGCCAGGTACAGCACACAGATGCACTTTGGAGACCAATAAAGTGTCTGAATATTGTCTGCCAGAGACAGGTGGAAAGAAACCAATTATTATACTCAGTGATCTCTAAACGCACGGAGTGGGGGTGTGTGGCGTGTCGATCCCAGATGGGAATTTGAAGCTCCGTGAGGGGTCGGAGTCAAACAGTTCAGCATTGTTACTGCTACTCGAGGCTGCTTGACCTTGACTGAAATGTTACCTACTGAAAGCATTCCAGAGTCTGACAAAAATAAACTTTACAATCCTCTTATCCTGCTTTTGACTTTGTCCCTGAACAAACAGTGCCGAAAGCCTGGTGTTTATCGCTTTCAGGAATGATCTTGAACTATCCCTCCCCACACACACTCCTACCAATACTGGCCAGAACCCAATTCCCCCACACACACACACACGCGCGTGGACCCACATACACACTCACTGACCGGTACAGACAGTCACTGATCAGTCACCCACCCCCACACACACACCAATCACGCACAGCAGTGCCCCACAAACAGCCGTGGATTGGGTAACCACATTATTTTGAAGGGATTATTACCCCCTGGAAAAGCGATCCGCTAATCGACTAATAACTGGGTTCCTATTTACTGCTAGGGAATCAAACTCTTGTTTGCAAGGTGAGTGCTCTGGTCACTTGAGCTACAGGACGCCATATAATAACGGAGGCAGTTACAGTGGGGCCGCTGGTCAGCACAGCCGGGGAGGGGGAGTGGGGGTCAAAGTCTTGGTGTCAAGATGCTGTGTGCAGGTAACGCCCGGTCAGGGCTGGAGGGACCTCACTACCCTGCAGGCTCCTCAGGTGAACGTAGTGTCTTTAAGTCACTACCCTGCATGAGGGCATCCTGTATAAATGAAAGTTGTTGTTGTCTGTTGCATCATTACACCAATGCAATACAATGTAGTGTACTGGGGGAAAACAGAAAAATAGACCCATAGAATTTACAGCACAGAACGAGGCCATTCAGCCCATCAAGTCTATACTGCAACCAGTCCCGCTATTGGATATTTATACTCTCATCCTGATTCCCTGCTCTTTCCCATAGCCTTCTTGTTATCCTCTTCAAGTACTTCACCAACCAACGTTACATGTCCTGGTCTTGGGGTGCTGGAGTCTGCCTATGCTCTCGTCTACATGGTACATTGGGAGCCTTTCTCTCTTCTTCCTGCCCCGAGTTTCTGATCTCAGTTGTGCCATCCCTGGTGTGTGGAGATCCATTGCTAGGAGCTAGGATTGGTTCTGTCCGTACCTGCTCTCTCTCACCTGAAGAATGATAATAATGTAATCTTAATCCCTGTATTAGATAACGTGCCTTTCACCTGGCGAGGATATCTCAGAGCACCTCACAGGATTTACTGTAGAGTGCAGCGACTATAATTGTGGAGAACAATAAGGACACAGAAGGTTTCTGTTAGGTCCCTGAGGAATCCGAGCACAGTCTTATCACTGATGCCTTTATTCTGCAGTTTTGTTCTGTGTTTGTTGTGTTTTTTGAATCTCCGCTGAATCGACATGGATCAGCAGGAATCGGCGGGAATGGGTTGTGGTCACACAGCCAGCATGTCTCCCTGACCCTCAACCCAGTCACCCCAACTCCATTCGTTGGTTAGATAAAAGAGTGGATCAAATGGGCAAACAGCCATCATGTCACTCATTCGTCCTTCAGATGAGATGTTAAACCAGCACCAGAAGCAGAAAATGTCATTTGTTTCAAGAACAAATTAGAGAGATTTCTGCTGGAAAACAATATCCGGGGATACGGCATATAGTTTGGGACACAACATGTCAAGCGACTGCCAGGATGGTGGAAGGTGAACTCGATGGACCTCGGTCTTTTGCCAGCAAATTCTTATGTTCTTGTTTTCTAAAGCAAGGTCCGTTCTGCCTGTTCAGGTGGACATTAAAGATCCCATGGTGCTATTCAAAAAGAGAAATAATGTTTCTCTCTCCCGGTCTCTTGGCTAATAAGCCCCCAAATAAAATAGGTCATTTGTTTCATGGCTGATTGCGGAACATTGCTATGTGGAAATGACTGCCGCATTTGCCTTTGGTTCCTACACTCTGCAGTAAGTATTGTGAAATCTGTTGAGACAATTTGATGATGTCTTAAGGCGATATATATCAAATGTTTGGTTATTATTGCGACACTTGGATGTTTTAAAGGACCTCAGCTCCCTTCTGCATGTATGTGTGTGTATGTGTGTGCCTTCACCTTCCTCTCTCTGTCTCGCTCTCCTCTATCTGTCTTTATTTCTCTCTGTCTTGGTATATCTGTGCTGGTGTGTTTTCTATCTAGGTTTATCTCTCTTGGCCTCTCTCCGTTTCTTTCTTAGCGCTTCAAGACTCTTACCCCGCACATGAGAAAGGGGTGATATAAACGGAAGGGTGGCTGTTGTTGTTTCATTGGAGGTCTCTTTATTTCTTTCTGTTTCACTCTCTGTTTGTCCGTCTGTCTCTCTCTGACTCTCATCCAGGACTGTGATGAACGAAGGGCTGCAGGCGGTTCCTCTGGCTGATGTACAAGTGGTTTCTGTCTTGTCACTGAGAGAATGGATCTGACTTTGCAAGGAATTAATCATATTCATGTCAGTGGACCTGGAGAGTCTGACTGATGCTTGAGTAATTCTGGGGAAAGGATTTGCTTTCATACTGCTGTTTTACAAAGATATTCTGGGATTATTATATTTTAAAATTGTTCCAACTCTCCCTGAAGATATTTAATCAAATCCGGGGTTGACTACGCCAAATCCCTGCTCGCTGGATTTCCCAACTATTCCCTCCACAAGCTGCAGATCATTCAGAACTCTGTAGCTCGTGACCTCTCAGGGCTCTGTGAGCCTATTCCCCCCTATCCTTGTCTGGCTCCCCATCCCCCAGAGTATAGTGTTCAAGATCCTCGTCCTTTTAAATCCCTCCACGGTCTTGCCCTACCTCTATAACCTTCTAAAATCCTATCAACCTGCCCGCTTCCTCCGCTTGGCAGACACTGACCTCCTTCAAGTCCCCTGCCCTGCCTACCACACCAATAGTGGTCAGGCCTTTAGATTTTCTGCCCCCACCCTTCAGAACTCCATCCTGAAGTCCCTTTGCCTGCCCCCTGCTTGCCTCCTTTAAGGCCCATCTCAAGACGTTCCTCTTTGATCGCGCCTTTGACCATCCTCCTACCCCGACCCCTCCTCGCTCTCAGCGTTTATAATATTATTAATCCTTGCATTTGATACAGCCCTCATCACCTTTTTCAGACGTCTCAAAGCGCTTCACAAAATATAGTGTAAAGTGAATTGACTGTATATTTTATAGCCTTGAATCCAACCTCCAGCTCAGGTGCAAACACTCGACTGCCCAGCGCCCTGGGACGTCCTCCCATCATGAAAAGAACTGCACAAACACAATTTGCTATTGTTGGTATTGAGATGACAAAGGGCTGGCAGTGTCCGGTGCTCATTCCAGCTGACTGAACATGTTCTGCCGTTGTTTTCACTTGCAATGTTTTCCTTAACCGAAGTCCAGGACACTGTGTTCCGAGTGTCGACAGAGAGAGCATTGTATCACTTGTTGTGCAATTTCCTCCTGCTACAAAACCAACTTCCTCTTTTGTTATTTTATTCATGTTCGAAAACCAGAGCAGCCTCGGGCTGCCTCAGCCTCGATTCTCGTTTGAGTCAAAGAAATCTCACAAGCTGTAGGAAGCTTATAATAATAATAATCCTTGCATTTGATATAGCGTCTTATCACGTCTTTGAGACGTCTCAAAGCGCTTCACAGAATATATAGTAAAGTGAATTGACTGTATATTTTGTGGGTGAAACACGGCAGCCAATTGCGCACAGCAGTGTCCCACAAAATGTCATGGATTGAGTGACCAAATTATTATTATTTTATTTTGGAAGGAAATACTACCCCCAGAAAAGCAATCCGCCAAACGATTAACAAACGGGTTCCCATTTACTGTTAGTTATAATAATAATGCTTGTATTTGATACAGCGCCTTATCAAATCTTTGAGACGTCTCAAAGCGCTTCACAGAATATACTGCAAAGTGAATTGATTGCATATTTTGTAGGTGAAACGCAGCAGCCAATTGCGCACAGCAGCGTCCCACAGACAGTCGTGGATTGAGTGATCCAAATTTAAAAAAAAATTTAAGGATTATTTTTGAAGGGATTATTAACCCCGGAAAAGTGATCCGTCAGCCGACCAACAACTGGGTTTCTGCTTACCCCCTAGGTAACCAGAGGCGTGTGGAGTAAGGAAACTCGCCTCAGGTTTTGGCCCCGCCTGGGAATTGAACCCAGATCCTCCCACTTGTGAGGCGAGTGCTCTAACCACTACACCGCAGGCCTCCACAAAGCTTAGGACTGAACTGAATCTGGCCAGAGCTGTGAAAAGCAAAAGTTAGTAGTTCCTATAAACTGTCTCATTGTTTCATCTCCTCCTGTTCCCAATTAGGCCAATTACATAACTACCCCAATTATGCCGTCTGCTGTTTCAATCAGCTCTGAATCCAGAGCATCCGGGTGCGCTATTACCAGAATCTGACCATAAAACCAAACCAGCCTCAATAATCACATCACCATCTCCTCTCAACAGCATCTCTCCTGCCAAATCCCATTATGTATTGTCATTGTTTATTTACGTAACCAAAGTGCAGTTAAAACTACACAAAATCCATGCCAAAAGGTTGAAACCTGATCTAACTCTCAAATTACTATAGGAATCTCACAAATGGACTCTGCTCCGTATCTCAGTGGAGGTTCCTTGTCTTTGGCCTGGCCATGTCTTGTGCTGGTAGTTAGATTTGTTTCAGAGGCTGGGTGGCCCAATGTATTCGGTCTTTCAAACTAGGCTGATCCTCTTATTATCAGATCTATTGTAACACATGTTTGGGACATTCTTCTCATCTACCCAGTTGCTTAATGTTCACAGTGGAAAACTCCTCATAAGTCAGTGTGAAATCGGCATCACCTCTGAGTCAGAAGACTGTGAGTTCAAGCCCCTTCAGAAAAGGCATCAGTCCCTTCAGTTAGACAGTTACTTCATTGTAGATTACTCCATCTACATAACTTACACCTATCTATTATCTGTAGCTCATGACTTGTCCTGCACTAGGCTCCGTGAGTCTATCACCTCCATCCTTCCTGGCTCCGCTGGCTCTCTATCCCCAGAGCATAGAGTACAAGGTCCTTGTCCTTACCTTTAAATCCCTTCCCACGCACCCCAAGATCCCCAACGCCCCCCCCCCCCCCCCCCCC